TTTGGGAGTGGTGAGGAGTTGCTTTTCTTGTTAAGCCTAAAATTAGAGTAAAGACCTTCACTTAATAGTTTAAGAATACTTAAATTTTGATTTTCTGTATTTTCTATAATAACCATGAGTTACTTCTATTATCTTGAAAACATTAAAGTCAAATCACTAAACCATGTTCTAGACTGCTGCTGGGATGCCACTGTGGTATAGACAGCGAGGATTCAGTGTCATGGGAAGGGTCTTGGATGAAGTACTTCCCAATCTGTTTCTTAGGACACTAGTATTCTCTGAGATATGAAAGTGAGTGTGGGAAGTACACCCCCCTTCACCCCATACCCACACATGCAGTCACTGTGAGCTCCGTGAAGCCAGGGACTTTGTTTTGCTCACTGTTGTACATAGCAGAAGCATGTGAACCACTAAGAGGATGGCTGAGAAATCATAATCAAATTGCTTGTTTCTGATAAGATGGTTTTAAAATTGTGGATGTTCTTAGGGGATGACTAATGTATGTTCGCTTATGTAGTACACATATTTGATTTCCAGGAGTGGCTTACCTGAAGAAAATCCAAAGTGTGATAGTTCTGTACACCAAACTAAGAAATAATTTCTTATGTCACAGGAAGATCATTTGCATGTGCTGAGGAATAGTAAGATACCTTAATATAAGTACACATATTTGATTTCCAGGAGTGGCTTACCTGAAGAAAATCCAAAGTGTGATAGTTCTTGTACACCAAACTAAGAAATAATTTCTTATGTCACAGGAAGATCATTTGCATGTGCTGAGGAATAGTAAGATACCTTAATATATTTATAAATTCAAGAAATTATTAATTTTTCATAAAAATATAAATTATAAAATGTAAGATACATCTGAATAAGCCTTGTGAGTAATCATGTGTTGAGTGTTTTTGGTGGGTGGATTATCAGTGGATTGATTATCCATGACTTTTCTTCTCATTAGTACACTTTACAAAATATAAGAAGAACTTATAGGAGGCAAAATTAAGTCATTTAATTACGTGAAATATACTTTTGGAACGGTGTGTGTAGGGGGGGCAGGCTAGGATTTGAAAAAAATAGCTAAAATCAAATATTTGAATAATATGAGGGTACTTCAAAAAGTTCGTGGAAAAATAGAATTGAAAGATAATATGAATCTTTTTCTCTTTTTTGGTTAACATTTCAATATATTTTTCTAATGCAAGTTCTCACTGTGCCTACTCTTTCATCCTTATTTTAACATGTTCTTTTAGGTCTATTTCTTTTTTTGTGAGTGTTTGGTTCTTTTTATTTTATTTTAGCATTTACTTGTACATTTTTGTGGGGTACAGTGTGTTGTTTCAATACATGCATATACTGCACAATGGTTCAATATGAATCTTTCATGAACTTTTTAAAGTACCCTTTATATGGTTGTTATTTACCTGTTTTAGCCTCTTGCTCTGAATCTGTTTTGTCTAAGATGGTAGCCAGTAGCCACATGTGGCTATTTTTATTTAAATTTAAATTAATTTAAATGCAATAATGTTAAAAATTCCGTTCAGTGGAAGTATCTGTATTTTAATGGCTCAGTAGCCACACACACGTGTCTAGTGGCTACTTTGTTGAACAGTGCAGATAGAGGACATTTCTTTCCATCATCACAGAAAGTTCTATTGGACAGCACTGTTATAAATTAATGAAAATTGCTAAGAGTTTTCACCAAATTTATATATTCTGAAAGTTGCAGAATGGAGTGGCAAGAAATTGGAAACCTTTACTCTCTGGAATTCGTAGGTGAGACCTTTCAAGATAGTTAAACTCTGGTAGGGGAGAGACGGAGCTAACTTTTTATTTATGGAGTTCTTGCTGTGTTCTTATTTGATGTTTACAGCAGCCAGTCCAGACAGGTAGTATTGTCCCCTTTTTATAGATGAGATCGAGCTTGTAAGTGGAAAACTGTAATTTGAACCAAGGTTTGTCTGACTTTAAATCCTTGTATTAGTCCATTTTCTGTTGCTTATAACAGAATACGTGAAACTGGGTAATTTATAAGAAGTAAATTTTGTTTCTTACGGTTTTGGAGGCTGGGACTTCTATGGTTAGGGGGTGCATCTAGTAAGGGCCTTCTTCTGGGTGGTGATTCTCCATAGCATGACTATATCAAACCTTCTTATTTGCTCTCGTTATAAAGCCATCAGAACTATGCCCATAACAGCCTATTAAACTGTCAACTCATTACTCCGTGAATGGATCAGTCCATTCACTAGGGCACAGTCCTTGAAATTCAGTCATCTCTTTGAAATTCCATAATTGGACTTCCACGCTCTTAACATTGTTACAATGGGAGTCAAGTTTCAATGAGTTTTTTGGGGGGGATGGTAGGGGGGAACATTCAATTCACAGCAATCCTGTATTTTTTGTTTTTGTTTTGGACCTCAGAAGTAGTGTTAAATTGAACATAATCCCCAGTTTGTGGTATATGGTCATTGGTCATCAAAGAGTTTTCTTCCTTCTACCCATAGACAAACATTCTACTGTGTTTAATGTATCTTTTTGTTTATTTTTGCAAAATACATCATTATAGCTTCAAATTCATTAGTTGTACATTTACATAGATGGTTTTATATAATCCCACTCTACAATACTGTTTGATGATTTAGGCACCCAGCCTTCTTCCTTTCGTAAGTTTTGTGAGGAAGTCTTTCTATTTGATGTTAGATTTTATGGCCTTTATCATCAGAAGTCTGAAAGAATATCCTCTTTTCCTCTTTACTGAGAAAATATTGATAAAAGGGATATTTGTCCCTGAATGCTTGTATATAATTTTTTATTCTATTTTTGTTTTCTTTTTCAGCATTAGGTGGCCAGTAATCACTTCTCATGAATATTGGTGTGTTCGAGCATTATAGTTGCTTTTTTTCAAAATTGAAATTCTTATTGAGTTAATTGTAGATTCACATACAGTTGTAAGAAATAATACAGAGAGATCCCTTGTATACTTTGCCCAAGTGCAGCTGCTTTTTATACTTCTAATTCATACGTAGGCTGGGAAAGAGGGTAGACAAACTTGTTAGAACTATGTTAAACAGAGTAAAGGCTGGAGGCATCCTCTTGTGAATGTAATACATGAACTTTAGCATGTGGACTTAATTTTAGCTGCTTTTTTGCTTAATTTTTAGTATTTCAGATAGTGAAGTTTTTATATAGCTGAGTTTTGGGTAAGTGATATTTATTTTCTTTTAAGCAAATTGATTTTTTTTATACAATTACTATTGAAAATAATTATATGAATGCCAAATCTTAAATTTTGATAATGATTAGATATTTCTGTGTATGTTTTGTTTTAGGTTGTTTCACGAAGAAATCCAGAGGATGTCCAGGAGGTAACATGTTTATCCATATGAAAATTTTATTTTGTACATTTGATAAAAATTCTGTTAAATGCTTTACTGAGGAAACTTCCCGCATTATTTGTATGTCAGACTTTGCATATGTATGTTTATTGTGGAGATTGTCTTCACAGCTATTTCAGACCTACTAAGTAGGTGTTAAGTTTTAGTAGGTGTTAAATTCTATAAATCAGAATTTGAGGAGTTACAGTGCTGTTAAATAAGTGATAATTGTTCTGGTAACTACTCATAAGATTTCAGTATTAGTGAAGTACCCATATTTATCCATTTCAAAATCATGATGCCTATTTAAAAAAAAAGAGAAGTATTTGGAAACTAGTATTAATTTTAAATATTTTAATAATAAATACGGGTTTTTACCCACTTTCACTTTTATATTGAATTGACATATTGACATCTTGGAAAACTGCTTTGGGTATAGATGTTTCTTTTAAGTTAGTAGTTCTTTTGCTGACTCTTCTTTGCATTTTTTTTCTTTTTCTTTTTTCTTTTTCCTTTTCCTCTCTCTAAAGTGATACAAGCCTATTATGTTTTTGCCTTAAACTGTGGAATTCTCTGTTTGCAACTACTCTGTGCTTGTTGTATATTTTTAGGAATCCTTACTGAGGAGCTTGATTCTTTTACTCTTTCTTGATTTACTTTAATTTTGGTCTCTGCTCATTTTCATTAAGACTAGGACATATTGGGGATTTTTTCTCTCACTAAAGTATTTAAAACAGATGCTGTCAGTGTACAGCCCTCATTCTGCTTCAGTGTTTTGTGTTTTTTTTCCCCAACTGAATTTGAATGTCTTTAGGTGGGTTATGTACCTTCTGTTTAGCCACCGGCCCTACTGCTCCTTACTGACATACCTGGCATGATTCATACGTTTTAAGTTGATTGTTTGGTACTGGTTGGTTTGAGTGTATGATCCCAGGTTTAGATAATATTTAAATTTTATACATTGCCATCTCTTGCTGTATTTGATTTGATATTTGTTTTTGTCCTATGATTAAAAAGTTCAATAAGGGCCGGCCTGGTGGCACACTGCTACAGTGTGCCGCTTGGGAGCATGGTGGCGCTCCCGCCGAGGGTTCGGATCCCACATACAGACCGGTTCCCGCTCACTGGCTGAGCGAGGTGCGGGTGCGACACGGAGGGTTGCGATCCCGTTGCCGGTCCTGGTCCGGTACGGGCGCAACACTGAGGGTTGCAATCCGTTGCCGGACACGAAAAAAGACAAAAAGGAAAAAAAAAAAAAGTTCAATAAGAGACACATTTTAAAAAGATTTCATACTATTTTCCTCATTGGTTCTAAGACATCTTGCCTCTTTCCCCCAGTCAGATAGCATATTATAATAGAGTTATTTTGGAAGAAAAGGGTATATATGCCAGTGAAAGTAATTTGTACCATTGGTTAATTAAAGTACTCTTTGTACTTAAGTGTCAATTGATTATTATGAACTGTTCTTTATAATTCTACTAATGATGTGAATTACTAGTCTATATCTGGCTATTCTGCTTTTGAAAATTTACAACTCTGTTAAAATGGAAAATGGGTTGTTTCCTTGAATGCATTGTCTGATTGCTGTGCTGTAGTTTGTAGCTTGATGTTCCCCTTTTCCAGGGAGAATCCTGAAACATCCTATCCATGAACATACTCTCTGCCATTTCCTTAATCCTTTTTTGGGGAAAACTCTTTTATAATAACAGCTGTTGGTGAACCATTCATCAGAAAACTCTTGTAAGTGTCCTTTAGTTAGACAATTGCATGGTCCTTTGTTAGAAATGGTATACATTAAAAAAAAATTCTCCTATCTAGTTGTCTTCTTAAAATATAGAATAACCTTGAAATTATTACAATAGCTTTTTTAGTTTCTCATTTATTTTATGTAAATGTTATAATTATCATTTAGGAGAGGAATTCACCACTTAGAAGTTGTTTCTATTTCCTTTCTTTTAACTTTCTTTCACTGTTAACTAATTCATGTAGTTACTGCTTTAAAATATAGTCAGACTTCGCAAGGGCTATTGACGAGTGGTAGATATACTGTTAGCCCAGCAAAATATAGGGCTAATAATATGCTATAAAACTGGAGAACTTTTCCTGTTTTTCTTTTATATATATATACCTTGGCACATGCCGCCAGATATCAGCATTTTCTTCCTAAGAATGCTAAAAAATACTCACATGGAGTAAATAATTTAAAATTATCCAGGACAGCTTTCCTTTTTTTACTTTTTATATTTTTTAAATTTTCTCTAAATTTTTATTTATTAAGAAGTGCATGGTTGAACCTTCAGGGAGACAGTAGTAGTTAATCTGTGGCCTCTCATGCAGTAGGTTCTCTAGGACATGAGCAGCCTGCAGAACCTCCACCTTTTAAAAAAGTCAACCTACAGCTGCTTCTCTATAGTTAGCATATTTCACTGGTGAAACCTGGTAAATGAAAAGAACTGAAATAGAACTTTGTATATATTGTGTTGGAAATCTCTAACTTATAAATCCTTTTATGAATAAGATAGTTTTAGAAAATGGGTAGACATTCGGAAATGCGTCAAAGGAAAGAAAAGACTCTTGAAAAGCAGGGAGAGAAAATCCGTGAACAAATAGTGTGGTGGTTGTGTTGGTTGCAAGAATAGATGATCCAGCAAGTTTTACGTATGTTATGAGAGTAAAAAGGACAAAGTTAATTGAATTGGGTGATTTTGTAAAATACAGGGATCTAAAAATTTTTGGTGTCATTAAGTGTAATTATCTGTAAAGAAACACTTATGTATGTAAGAAATATTTAAGGGAATGTTTTAATGAAAAATTAAAATTTTATTAAATTTGTAGTTTATATGTGGTTGTTACTAAATTAACATTTTATGGAGAAATTTTTTTAGAGTGACTTTATTTTTTTAAATTTTTTAAAAATGTTTTAATTTTTTGTCTTTTTTCGTGTCCGGCAAGGGATCGCAACCCTCAGTGTCGCGCCCGTACTGGACCGGGACCGGCAACGGGATTGCAACCCTCGG